GGCTTAAACCGCTTTGCTGCGCGACCGCCGTGGAGGCACGGCATCGCGACGCAGTAGTTCATTTTAATAGAATATAATTTGCACAGTAATATGTCAGTCAGACTCATCGGCGAGTCTGGCAGACATCTAAACAAGCTCTAGTGTGCGAACCAAATTGCTTGTGCAAGAAACGGACTAAGCATCTACAAATGTTTCTCCTTTTGATACTCCAACTCCCGTCAATTTAAAGCTAGCCTAATTACTGTGTAGGTAGGAATCTTGCTCTATTTTGGTAACCTTCATATTAGTTGCTCTCTCAAAAATGAAGACTAACCGCAGCCTCGAGGACGGCTACCCCCGGCTTCACCGATTATCCTGGCAGTACTTTTGAATTTGAGGGCTAAATGTGCAGCAGTTCTGCTGCTGCTCCTCCAGGAAACATCAGCAATTGTTCCATTTCTTCTGCGTTCCAGCGGCCTCGTCATGTGCTCTTGTCGAGTTGCTTAATTTGTTATTCGTGGGGAGCTTGCTCGACGAAAATGACTTAACACCCTGGGCATACAGGTGATCACTACAGATCTATTGCTGAACGCGACCTAACGACGATCTGGAAATCTGAATTCGGTCTTGTGCAAAATAATGTTATAACCGCGGGTGCCCGACAGGAGGCCCATCGCGCGGCGCGAAGGTTGAGACGCAGACGGGTAAGCGGACGAGTGGCAGCGCGTACTGCGTGATGTGGAAATTATTGGGACGTACTATAGTGCATCCCATTTAAAGGGAGTGGTCACGATAATTCCTATGGAGACGATAAGGAAAGTTACGTACTGGATTGGGTAGGGGTCCTGCCCAATGAGACAACAGGTAGTGTTTCAGTGGCAGTGGCGCCTTATCAACGACGTGATAATTGCCGGAAATCCAGTTCCGGGTGCAAACACGCTATGTATCGGTGTGATGGGGTTGCAGTGGCAACTTATGTATAGATATGATACTGTTATCGTTAAGGTCCGATTCCATTTTGGAGTGCACCTCATTCTAACAAGCAGCATAACCTTCTTATCTTATCGTATCGGATCTTCTATGGGGTTACGCTTCGCCAACCATTATCTATCGTAGACCTTGTCGGTTGGCAGCGCGAGGCAGCAGATCCAATGGAAGCCAGCGGTTTGCTTTTTGACTTGACGCTAAATAACCTCCCCTTCAAAAAGCGAGAAAGTGTCGGGTGCAGACCAAACACCACAACTGACGACGGCCTCCAAGTAAATCTGGTTAGAAGTTGTTCATAGTGATAGCTGATTTCTGGTAAATGATAGTTGTAATTAGTGACAATCGATAGAATACAACTGCAACAGGCTAATCATTTCATTGGCAGAAAACATTAACATTTTGTGAAGGCCGTCGTCACTTGTGGTGCATGGTCTGCACCCGACACTTTCTCGCTTTTTGAAGGGAGGGTAGTACAGTCGATATCTCGAAGTCTGATTGGGCGTGTCACCGGAAATGACGTGGCAGCCACCGCACTTGATAGATGTTGTGTGGATAAAATACTCCGCCAGATATCAGCAAAGCGTGTTGGAAGCAGCTTATCCGCGCAACTTCTATCAAGTGCGGTGGCTGCCACGTCATTTCCGGTGACACGCCCAATCAGACTTCGAGATATCGACTGTACAGTACGTGGTGCGAATCGTCCGCTGACCGTCCAAATTTCTGTCTTCCGCTGCGCAACGGGGCTCCTGTCGGGTATCCTGTAACCGCGCAGCGATGTCACATTACGGCTTCAAGTCGCACGACCAGAGTTCGCGCGAAAATCTGAACTGTAACTTGCACGATATCACGGTGGAACTTGTCGTATCTATCCGTATTCTACCTTGCCGTTCGCTGCTAGATTCCTGCTCGATGTTCCTGATGCTATTTACATTGTGGGCGGGGGGGGGGGGTGGGAGCGAAGGGCAATTGGTTTGTCTACGGTCTCTTACCAAGGCACTGTAAACTCGGTTGAAGAGTGTTTGGATTGAAGAATCATTACGGGCTGCACATTGCCAGCCCACGATCAATACTCGCCGAGCATGCGCCAGCGTAATCGATTAAGACTGTTTTTTGTTGCCGGATGATTCATCTTCGGCCATCGTTCCAATCTTGACTCGAATATGGTTCGTATATTTCGGATTGTTTTAGTGTGGCTGCGTTCATTGTTCGTGACTTCGGAGATCAGGATAGTGCGCAACAATGATGAAGATACGTATTGACGGGGAGATCAGGAAAGTAGCCACTAGCATAGGCGCTGACAAGGTTAGCCCAGCGATAGCTATCAATATGTAGCTAATCCTTCAGCGCAAAATCCTAACCTACTATCCTAATATCCTATCGCCTACTATCCTAGTGCCGTATGCTATCCTTCCCCGAGCTCCTTTAGGCCGATGTCAGACTTTGCGAATCGCGCGATTCGCTAGCGTCTGCGGTCGCGTCGCGGCCAGTGAATCACTCAATTGGCTGGTACCGCAACGCGACCGCGGACGCTAGCGAATCGCGCGAATCGCTAGTAGTCTTGGGAAAAAATTTTGAAGCCCTTGGGAAGGATAGCATACGGCCTCTAATCTCCAAAGTCGCGAACTATGAACGCGGCTATCAGATGAGAGGTGATTCTCGATGAGATGCGCTTAATCTGAAAGCTTCTGAACATATCTACTTAGTGATATTTTTTCTTTTGGCTTTTCAGTGCCTTTCATTTGCGTTTTCCACTTGAAGCAGCAGTAGCGGCTTGGACCGGGTCACAATAGTTGCTAATGAGCGGTTCGCACATATCACGAAGGATGTGCAAGAGGGCTCCGAATTGGTGATCTGCTAATTTGTTTTTGCAAAGACTTTCTGCAAAGACAAGGTTTTGCACCCGTTGATAAAATGGATTCTGGATATTCCGTTATCGGGATATATGGGATATTTCGTTCCCTCTTTTCCAGATTTCCTCATCAGCGGCAAAATTCTAAAATTGACGAGATTAAAGCAGTAGCCAACGAGTATTGATCGTAGCGCTTTCGTAGCATCGCGAACGGAGAGACCGTTCAGCGCGGCTGTAGCAAAGTTTAATGGAGTGTTCATAGTTGGCGATCGTACGTGCGATTTGGCGATTCGTCTATAATATAATAGATTAGGCGATTAGGCGATTAGGCGGGAAGACTACATACGTATTGATTGGTTTGCTCCGCCCATAGAGCGTTGTAGGCGAGTAGGCGAGTAGGCGATTAGGCGATTAGGCGATCGCTCAATGGGCGGAGCAACAAATCAATACGTATCCTTCCTCTTATCGCCTACTCGCCTAATCGCACGTACAATCGCCTAACTATGAACGCTCCATAACACGTGCCTAAAGAGTCAGCCTCATTTTCCGCATTTCTTGAGGTCAGCAACCGGCTGTCATATTTGTGATAGAAGTTTGGTATCACGGCTCATCGTGTGGCATCAGTGCCTTTTGTCAGTTAACTGCACTTGTCTTCTGCATTTTCGCGGAAGGTTGGGCCCTTATTTTGGGCACTTTTCAATGTTTCACACTGATAAGCTAATGGTATCAGGCACCGATGTACTGATTTCATTTTTTTTTCAAAGATGAGTGAGGGGAGTCGACGTTCAAGAAACACTCCTCGTGGTAACCGCGGCTATCGCCATAACAGTAGATCAAGAGCTCAAGGTTATGGGTGAGTATTATTTGTTTCTTTCACACATCATTTCCATAGGAAAGAAAACTTCTCAGTTCGCGAAAAAAAACGTCATTAGTTCCACCTGAAGGAGAGTAGTTGTAGTAAAAAAAACATTGACACTTCTCTATCCGAAATAAACTTTCTTTCTGCAGGGGACCTTACGACAAGAAGGTGAATAATCAGCAGCGATACCGTGATACTGATAAGAATCCCTCGGTTCATTTTCTCCCTAAACATTTACAAAGGGTGAATCCTTGGTAAGATTTGTTACCATTAGTACTTCGTTTGCACTTTGTGTGCCTCAATGTTTTTTTTTTGTTAGGGAGAATGAAGAAGCTAGCAGTGATTTTGACCGCGAAGATGTTTACGAAGACAGATCTTCGTATGAGGAGGCTTCCAGTGATTACAGGAATACTGAGTACGTTTTGCTCTGAGCGAATGTTATCTTTCATCGGTAATTAGCCAAATAACGCTTGCCTTGTTGTTCAAATGCACTCTTGGAGGAAAACTGGATATAACCCGATTCCAGATATCGACGTAATTCGTTTGAAGAAGAAGGGTATGATATTGATGGCTCCTTCGCCGACTACTCCGATTCTAATCGTCCTTTTGACAATCGTTACCCCTATGACCGCAGCGATCGTCATCGTAACAAGCAGTGCGATCGTTACGAAATGTGTGATCGGTGTCGGTTTGGCACATGGCCACGTTGTTCTTGTGGCACGAGGAACACAAAGGGTATGGGTTGTCGCGATCATCGTGGACGCGAATCAGCGGCACAATGGCATGGAAAAACCAAATGTTATGCATGTGGACGAACGTGCACCATGGAGCGGTAAGAGGTTAGCATTGCACGACTATTCAATTATTTATTAACAGTTTTAGTGAGGATGAACGTTACCCTCCCCGATGCCGTGATTGTCAATCACCGAGGAGACTTACCCGCGAGGAATGGAGGCGCTTAGAAATGGAGTGAGTTTTTTTTTGATTTGATTTAGGAATACTTTGACCACCCTCATTGCCCATGAATGATAGCTTATTCCTCTACTAGATTGGTCCCCCGTCAACCGCCGGAACCTTCCTTTCCTGCGTAAATTTTATATCTTCCGCTGTGGTCCCTTCCACCTGTGACATCCTGCGTAAGCTTTATATCTTCCGCTGTGGTCCCATCCACCTGTGACTTCCTGCGTGAGCTTATATCTTCCGTGTGACACCAACACCTCTGGAGGTGACGCGTATGCAACACAAAGGTGTTTCATACAGTAGAAGGGACATAATCATGATATGACGGTAGATTTTTCGCTTCCCTTCCCATCCTCCCTTCCTCTCTCCACTGCCCTCCAGCTGCCACTGCAGCACCATGTGGAATGAACGGAAGTGTGCTAAGCAGGTGTTTATATAGCCCTAAGAGTGTTATCACAACTATCCTGCTACAAAACATTGATATCTCAAATCCTGAGCTACCCGATTTGTTAGCGGTTTGTTTATCCCATGAGCTTCCTTCTCACTCACTTCATTTTGCGGACGGACACACATACATACATACATACACACATACACACATACATACATACAAACCGACACACAAAGTTAGCGCTTTATAAATAGAAGGATTTACGAACTTGTATGCAATGGGTTCTGTCGGTTGCGTTACATTTTTGTTTCAAAGTGCAATTTCTGGAGATATCAGCACATGAGTCACTTAGTTCTATGAGTAGGGCCCATATTGATTGATGAAGCACGAAACACTCGTCGTTTCTCTATGCCTGTATTTTTTCTTCCACGCCGCTCTCTGTCTATCTGGTGCCCTTCAGTGACAGTCGGTTGCTCTCTGGGGTCTGGTATGCATGCGTATGCGTCCTGTACAGTAGTGCTTTCCCCTCTCACTAAGTTTTCTATCCATTAACTGAACCGGAAAATGGTAAGATTGGTTGCCTGAACAGTATTTATCATGGAATTGCTCTCAGACTGAACCGAATTCGATCTTCGAATTGATCATAGAATTATGTCTATGGTGACGGCGCTACTTGAAACAACCTTAGGTACTTTATGTTATTGGCTACATGGCAAACCACTGTATAGCCTAAGTCCTATTCAAATGCAGCAACGATTTCGAGAGAAATCGAAACACGTGGCGGTGTTTATAAAGATATCAGTGTCAGATGCCTTGTGATTTCTTTTTTCACTGAGTTTTGGAGACGTTCGGGTGAATTCGTTGCGGAACGATTATTTGGAGCATAAGCTCGAAAACACCACTCATTCTGTTAATAATACCTCCTTTTCTTTTCAGGAACGCGAACGTCAACATTACATGGCTGATCGCTCACCACGTTCACCACGTTATGAGAATCGTCGCCCTTTCGAAATTTTCCAAGTCATGAGGACTACAATCGTGAACACCGTGGATATAATCGTCAACCACGTCGTGGACAGCAATCTAATAATGCGCGCAGAATGATGAATGACAGAGTGAATTCTTCAAGAGACTCTGAATTTGAGGATCGGCAACAGTGTTCCTTGCTTATGCAAGCAAGAGGAGAACAATGGCACAAGTTCACAGACTACGATGGTGGTGGATGTGAGAATGTACGCGATGGCAGGAGGAGACGGCGCGGCAATAAGAATTCAAGGTAATCTCTTAACGCGAAATTCAGATTTTTGGATGGTATGGTTGCTGTTAGGCAGTTTGTGCAGCATATGAATCCTCGTGGTTATGGATGGCAGAACCCAGAATCGAGAACAATTCGAACTGAATCTGAACTTGATACACTCAGACCCACTCTTGAACTCCCGTATGAGATGGGCATGAAGAAGTGAGGGTCTGCCTTCTTTTTCCGGATGTAACGTCGCATTTCCCTGGGCCATGGGCGGGGGACATTCCTCCCGCCAACTAGGTTTCTATATCTCACAACCTTGGAACATATCCTCTACCTAGGACATATCTCCCACCTTGCGACACTTGCGGATATATCCCCAATTGCTGTAAGGCTTCGTATCCCTAGTTGGGTGAGGGGATGGGTCCCCATCCCCTAGTTGGGGCTTGCTGCACCCGGCCCCTGGTTATACATCTTTCCTTTCCGTTCCCATATTTACTGGACTCGCCGAATAGTCCTGCTTACCATTCAGCATCAGTGAAGAGAGACAGGTTAGGTATAAAATATATATGTCCATTCTGAAACTAAGCCAAGTTCATTGAATTTGAATCATACTACGAGGAAGGTCTTCTGACTTGGTAACAGGAAAGATTATATTATTTTACGACTTTTTCAGTTAAGTAGAAAAGAAAATGATTTAGATCAATTGAAACTGCATACGAAGTTGTGTGCACAAAATTTTCGAAAGAGAAGCACAATTTTAACACGTTGACGACAGGCTGACGCGCATGCGCGTCAGAACTATCTTAATCATTTCTATTGTGCTTGCGCTCCTTCTTCTCGGGTTTTTGTATTCATTCTATAGATAATACATTAGCATAACTATAAACCACATGGCAGCCAGAGTGGTCAAATATCCCTTGATTTAGCAAAGATTTTCTGAACGCACAAAACTTTCATTTCAATTCTTTCCTAGTATTCCTTTCACTGTCGTAAACATTCATATGAAAGATTGTAGAAGCAGTTAATAAAACTCTGTGGTTTCAAAATATTTGTATTTGATGAGAACTCCCGTATAAATCTTAACTTCATTTGCAGCGGAAGTGATGTTTTTTACTTGATCATTATGCGGTCTTCTAAACAAAAATCTACTGTTATTTATATAGTTAACTTTTATGCTTTCATACTTGCCGAAAAAATTCTATGAGATGCAAGAGATTTTTGATCGGATACTCATGAACTCAACTTCCATCCTTTTAGGCTTCGAAGAAGGCGAACTCGCCGAAACGTTAGCCAATAAACTATCAATATCAACCTCGTGTGCATCAGTTCAATAAGTTGTGCCCTTCATCACTAACAGCAAGTTCATGCGACCGAGAGCATATGGCGTCATCAGTTTCAGCGTTACCTATTCGTGCCGTGTTGCGCACTGCAACATGAAAGGAACCCGTGCTAGGGTTTGGTTTTGAATGTGCTGCGGGTAATATGAAAAGCTTAGAAGGAACTCGTCTCTAGAGTCCATTTCTATGGAATGATATCCCTATATTTTCTAGATTTCATAAAGGATAACTCAAAAATATGGAGCAGTGTAAAAAGGATAATGATTTACTATAAGTTTCATAATATCTGTGACTGTCTGCGTCTCCATAAGTGGACGCTCTCTTTCTTGATCATTGGCTGGCACGCCGTCGCGCGTGCATTATCCGTACTGGAACCAATTGCCAGAGTGTTTCCGCATTCACATTCGCGGACCCGCACCCTACTAAGAGCGTACGAGTTAGCTGAAGCCGAAGGTCATCGCGAGCATGCCCAAATAGAGGAAACGACGGTTCCGGAGCTTCACGTGGAAACAAGCACCCTTCACTTGTTTGTGCAGAAGTACCCAGCTGGGAATGTGTCCTCAATGGGTGGTGTGTTATGCACGCAGTATCTTCAGGCTTAAATCTTCCTACTTGTAGGTACAACAATGATGTGATTCATCTCCTGTTTTTTCAGAGGCTAATCTCTCGCGGAATATGAAAATGCTAAACATCGATGGAGACTCGCAGTCGAAACCGTATGATGAGAAGGTATGTTAGGCAGTGAGAGGAGGTCGTCGAGAACATTGGAACAAACGAGACAAATAAGAATGCCTCCTTTAGGATGAACAGCCGCGTGTCGAAGAACGATCGGCCGCACCGGAATACTCGAGGAATTCTGAAACAGAAAGTGATGGAGGTAATGGCTTACGCAATTGTTTTGGCTATCGGATCCATCATCCAAGATTTCCCTTCTTAACTCCATCTTTCTCTGGAATTTGGCTAAGGTTGTGCAGATGTTATAAATCCTTAGCCTCCTATGCATTTTACCCTTCATACAATGCCATAGTGTATATATCCTTTGATTCTGGCTTTCTCCGTACAATCTCCAGCCTACTCTTGTTCATGGCTGTTCATGGCTTCCAAACTTGAAGTACCATACCATGTGCGACCGAGCTTCAGCATTGCTTTGTACAGACTACACAGAGGTGGCAGTAAACTTTAGCCTAGACATACATCACAGCGCCCTTGCATGGTAGAGGACGTGGTATCCAAAGCTGCTTTGCTTGAATCTCAATAAAAGGGAGTTTTTTTTTTCGAAACAACAACACCAGATGTGGTTGTGTGAAGGAATCGGTTTTGTGGGTGGTATAGAACGAGCGAGTATCAATACAGTGCGTACCAAAAGTATGTGGACACCCTGGAATCGATTCTCAGGGGTCAGCTAAAGGCTTTTATGTCATGAAACCTTCCACCATTCAACTCCTAGTGGTCGATAACCTACAATGATATTTTCGGCAAAAGATTTCGTTCTAACTTAGCGAACTATTTTTCATGGAAAGTTTTTTCTTTGTATCAAAATTATGTGGACACTTTTTGAAAAACGGCAATATCTTCAGAATCTGAAATCGGTAGGCCTACCAAAGTTTCTAGTAAGTTGAGCCATTCTGTTTGGCATGCTATGAATGGGGTCTGGATACATGTCTTGCAGATCTGTTCCCAACTAGCAAATTTCACCGACGTGTTAGGTCACTTGTGATATTACTCTTTTGTTCAATGACGTAGAGACCGCGAACCACGATACCCTCTAGGTTTTCAATAAGGATGAAGTCTGAGGAATACGCTAGCCGACTTGCCAATCGAAGTAATTGTGTTTAGCATTTTTCAAATGGAATGGCGTCAGGGATTTTTCCTGCAGAACAAGTGATTTGCGACAATGACTTTTCGAAAAAGGTTGTAGCCGGGACTCAAGCACCTCATTATAATCCTAGATGTCTACCTGACATGTTGGCAAGCCAAACTCCAATGTCCCCCTCCTTTTGGAACCACCCCAGACCTTTGATGAACATCTTCCGAATTGTCTCTTCGAGCACATCTGCGGGTCCGACCAAAGTCTCTCCAAAAACCACAAGACCCACCCGAATAGTGAGGAATAAGCTTCTTTCTGCCAGTCGAGTTGGTCTATGAGAGAAATTCCACAGAAAGTCTTTTATACTAATTTTACCATTTCCACGAAAACACTGTCTGTGTGGGTTCAAAGTATCATGTTGTGATCCTTTTTTGAGTGGGAATTCCAACCTTGCCAACCTGAACCCGCATTCATATACAAAGCCTTCTTCATCTTCTTTCGTGTCGTGTGCTCAATTGATTGAATGAGACACCGATTGGTCTTTTTTAAGATCGGGAAGATCATTTATGCGTAAAGTTGAGTAGTACGAAAAGAATAATTTGAGAAAATTAAGGCTATTCTTCTGCTGTTTTGAACAAGTAGCGATTGAGAACAACCCTCAGTCAAGGTCGAGAGCTTAGCATCAGGATTTCGGATTTCTCTCCAAACCTACGAGGACGCATGACTGGTTGACGTGCTATTTCGCAATAGGAAGGTTCAGAAGCATGGGGATCCCATTTCTGTGCTCGGTCTTCTTCAGAAAAACGCTTGCCGTGAAGAGGAATGATGCCAGAATAAGTAACGAAAGGAGAAGTAAAAATAGGTTAGGAAATCGATGCAAAAACTTCATCTGCCTCAGGGTGTCCACATAATTTTGATACAAAGAAAAAACTTTCCATGAAAAATAGTTCGCTAAGTTAGAACGAAATCTTTTGCCGAGAATGTCATTGTAGGTTATCGACCACTAGGAGTTGAATGGTGAAGGTTTCATAACACAAAAAGCCTTTAGCTGACTCCTGAGAATCGATTCTAGGGTGTCCACATACTTTTGGTACGCACTGTATATGCGCTTCGCGGCTTGGTGAAACTTGGGGGGGGGGGGGAGGCCCACAAATTTGGGGCGATTGCGCGGCCCATAGTTCGTCTGCTTGTCCAGGGGTTTCGCCATTATGTTATGTGGCAGTTTCAAAGCGCGCTATCGGTGACTAAGCCTTGGAAGAGCAGACGAAAACAGCGTCGCGCCATTGCGTGCACCCCGCGACTAATGTGACACTGGACCAGATACCACGCGCTCGCCCTTACGCAACGTGGATTTCGACGTGCGTTTTCATAGTCGGTAAGTAGCCTCCCTTTCAAAAAAAGAAAAAGAGAAGCGCATCGGGTGCAGACCATACACCACAAGTGACGGCAGCCTCCAAGTAAATTGTAACTAGTGATTCATAGTAATAGCTGATAGTTGGTAAATGAGAGTTGTAATTAGTGACAACTGATAGAATACAACTGCAACAGGCTAATCATTTCATTGGCAGAAAACATTTACATTAATGAGGTCGTCATCATTTTGGTGTGGGTCTGTCATCAGACGCTCTTGGTTTTTCCGCGCAGGATTCCTTTAAGCCGTTTGGACACGGTGAGCACCTGAATGAACGTGCATTATGATGTTCCTGCCGCAGTCACG